AAATAAAAGGCTCCTTAGTTTGTACAGAAATCCATACTAATCATACTAAATTTATCAAGGGTAGAACAGTACATATTTTCTTAAGTATGAACCTTTTTATTGACAGGTGTTGAATAAGGGCTAAGCTAACAGCACACTTGCCTTAAATTTATGCCAAAGAAAACTTACTATTTCATTTGGCAGATGTCTCCATAACTCACAATTGCCCTAAAAATCTGAGAGATGCATGTTATCTGGTCAAAGGTCTTCTCGCTGTAGGTGTCCTGTAACATATGTGCCCCAGTCACAGGTATCCCGAGGTAACTGTAAGTGCAGCCCTTCTCTGTTCTCCACAGACAAGAAGAGTACGGCTTCCCAAGTGCAAGGCTGAAAAGGGAGCAGCCTCGTCCATTTTCCCTTCTATCTGCTTAATGAGTCATTTCCATAAAAGGGGAACCTGCTAATCTGACCAGAGGGGGATGTGACAGCCAATGGGGCAAGTCTTTTTTTTTTTTCTAGAGGAAAAATAAAATAGAGTTTTGTCTTTTAATAAACTACCCATGAATGTGTGGGAATAGTATTTTTTAATTTTGGCTTGTTTTATTTAGTCTCAGGTTGTAAGTCATGGCTGACCAGACATATTGTACATTTTAAAGGGGAAAGAAGTAACTGCAAAATAAATAAATAATAAATAAATAAATAAATAATCCATGAACCATTCTTGAATACAGGTTACTTGGAACCTAGTTTAAAACAAACCACTCCATTCCTGGTTACTGGGCACTGGCCCAGTTTAATAAAATACAGACACCAATCTCCACTCAACTATGATTCTGTGTATATTGTTGAAAACCAGCAGGGGAGGTGAAGAAATGAGTGATGTTCACTGCAGACGTCTAACCCACACAACACAAATATAAATTCGAGAAATGAACTCTTGCAAACATGAGGTGAGAAAAAAATTCCAAGACAACCACTCCATAAGACAGTATCTTCATATGTTTGCACATTTGCTCATTCAACAAACAATTCCCAAGTCCTTAATTGCTGAGTATTAACAATGTTTCTGTGGGCACAACAGAGTAAGACTAAGCTTCTGACCCACAGCACTTAAACAAGGATAGACTGGAACTTCACATGAAGATGGATGTGAGGGCTATGAAGATAACTAAAGCAGACTTGCGAAAACAGCAATGGAAAAAGGCCAGGTAAGCAGCTTTGCTGCAGTGATCTGAGAAGTGTTCTAAAGGCAGAGAAAGCTAGCGAGAGGGGTTGCCAGACAGAACAGCATACAAAAGGCAGTAGAAAGGAGTTTGAAAGAGAACATGGTATGTATGAAGGACAGTACAAAGGCTGGGCGGGTCAGAGGAGGAGCTGAAAAAGAGGCGGGTGCTGAGATCAGACTGGCAGATGACCCATCACCCATCAACATAAAAACCAGAAAACTGTCTATTTAGTTACTAGGGGTGTCTACAGTAATTTCCATCCAAAAATCTGTTATAAAATCTGGGGTGGAATGGACTGCAAAAAAGTGGAGTTTTAGAATTTATTTTTCAGGAAGAAATTCACTCAGCTTGTTCTTACTACTTGCCATTTCTCAAAGAATTATTTTCTTAAATGCCAAGTAATTCTTAATAATCCTTTAAAAATGCTAATGAATACCAGACCCTCACTTAGAAGCAAGAATTTAATTTTCAGTATTGTAATTGCTAAAAGAGGAATTGAAGACAGTAAATATCTCATAGTTGTATCTCATATGCTCAGGTATTGAGCTGTGAGAATCATTTACACTTCTAACAAAATAACAAACACACTGAAATTGAACTGCCTCTCTGCTTCAACCCTCACTGAACACGGAGAAATGCAAAAAAAAAAAAAAAAAAAAAAAAAAAAAAAAAAAAAAAATTAACAATCACCAGCATCAAAGTGCTATGCAGGACAGAAAGCACGCTGTACACCCGTCACTCAAAGAGGAATTTCACTTAGTAAAGTAACATAAAATTTTAAATGTTTGGGGACTGGAGAGATGGCTCAGCAGTTAAAAGCACCTCTTGCAGAAGACCTGGGTTTGGTTCCCAGCACCCACACGGAGGCTAAAAATCATCCGTAACCCCAGTCCCTGGGGCTCTGACTCCATCTTCTGACCTCCATGAGTATGGTGGTTTGAGTAAGACTGCCCTCTGTAGGCTCCAAATCTTTGGACGTTTTGTTCCCAGTTGGTGGTGCGGATTTGGGAAGGTGTGGCCACGCTGGAGGAAGCACATCACAGGGGCAGGTTTAGAGAGTTCTTCAGCCTTGCCAGATTTCCAGTCGCACTCTGCCTGCTTGAAGATGTGAGCACTTAGCTTCTGCTCCTACTCCAATCACCTCAGCCTCCATGCTTCCCCACCATGATGGACTCTTGCCCCTTTGGAACAGTAAGCTAAATAAATTCTTCCTTTTATAAGTTCCCTCGGTCATGGTATTTTATCACAGCAACGGAAAAGTAACTAATACAGTGGCCATTGCATGACAAGGGTGCATTTACACACATGCAGGCAATACACTCCTACACATAAATAATAATAATAAAATATTTTTAAATGTTTGTCAATAAAGTCTTTCAGGTAGCTTCATAGCTACAGTAACAAAACAGTTTTACATTAATAAATGACTAAATTAATCACAGCAAGTAACTATGCCACTAGATACTTGAAAGAAATTCTGAAGAGAACTATAATTTAAAACTTGCCACTATTGCTGAAATCCATACAACCTAATAACTGTATATGGAAGAACACATGCTTGTCAACATCATGATCACAGCTTGAAAGGATAACACTACTCAGAGACCCTGTATTATATACAATGTGTATCAGATATGCTTGACATTTGAATTTTGGGTAAAACAGTGAGACATAACAAACTTTTCTCAGGCTTATTATAGTGAGTACATTTGAGCTTCAAGGAGTATTGCTCACTCTTTATGTATATGGCTTTGTCTCAAGCCTTTGGCTCAAACTATGCTCAGTCACTAAGTGTCAGGATTAGCATTAATTGTCACTCTGACTAAATCTAGACTCACTGGGAGAAAGGCTTCAGGGCATGGCTACAAGGGTTGCACTGATTAATTGCTATGGGAAGCCCACCCACTGGGGGTGGCATCATTCCCTGGCTGGGATCCAGGACTGCATAAGTGGAGAGGGAGCTGAGCAGGAGCACTCAGGACTCTCTGATCCTCATTGTAGATGCAACATGATCAGCTACTTCAGGCTCTGTTTTCTTGACTTCCCCACAACCATGTCCTGTGTCCTTGAACTCTGAGCCAAAATAAGCCCTTTCTCCCTTAAGTTGCTTTTGTTAGGGTATTTTATCACAGCAACAGAAAAAGAAACTAATATACTCAGTATAGGTAATTTGTCTTCTTTTTTGGTCCAGTAGATGTCTACATATTCTAGGTGGCTGTTACCTTCTCACACAATGTTCCATGTTAAGAGGAACACACAATTTAACTTCATATGATAATTCTTCTGAGATGTGTCATTTTTAATAAAGCAAATTTACATTACTGATTTACAGTTACTCACATTCTCATAACAGAAGTGACAGTGAGAAATTTACTATGTGTTGCCTAAATTTTCATATTTGAAAATAATACCTTTGTTCATTAACATAGTCTTTGCCTATCTTGCTCCAAATTACCTGTATTCACAGACTGCTAAGTGCCAGTCTTGATTTTTGCTGTACCATGCCCTGGTCTGTAGCTTGCAGCCTCTGCACAGCTGTCAGCTTACCCATTAGGAGGACTGTCATCTTCCCACCCTTACCACAGTACTCCCCTAGCCAGCATGCCCTCTGAAGGAGGCTTTCAGAGACAATTGAAGCCATCCTTGCTCTTTCCAGCACAAGCAAATCAAGACAATTCCAGACAGATGGCTACTATTAAAGTCTCCATTTAACTGTCTTTATTTGATAGTGAACCCTGAAATAACATACTCAATATTTTTGACATCTTACAAAGAAGACTGAAAGTTCCTCATAGCACTGCATCCTAACATCACAGGAGCCTTTGTAGTCAAAGTGTATTTGTTCCTGTCAAAATCTCTCTTGCCAAGACCATCTCCTTTAACTTGCATTTTCAAGGGAGTGAAGTGTATTATGACTGTCCCACTTAAGAAGATCTTCTACAAACCTGGAGCCTATAATGAAGTTAACACATTCTTACCTCACAGTCAAATCATCGCAATTCAAAATTCTGTTTGATTTGCACAGGTTTCCTATGCCAGCAACACAAAACAATTAGCTAAAGTTGCAAAGGAAAAGAAGCCCATAGGTAAAACAAATTATAGTTGGCTTACATCTCTGTGAGCCTAAAGTTGCATTCACAGAAAACTGCACCAACATGGGAATGTCACTGTTCCCAGTTTAAGAGTGACACTGGTTTTCAAGTGTCCAAGAAAAAAATGTGTGCATTCTTGCTACCAGGGATGTGCACCTTCTTCCAGACTGAAGACTAATATACCAAATACAATTCACAGCTGATTTCATCCTCTAATCAAGGTAAGGTCAAAGGAACCACAGAAAATTAAGATGGGGCTGGAGAGATGGTTCATCAGGTAAGAGTGTTTGCTGCTCTTGTAGAGAACCGGGTTCAATTCCCAGCACCCACATTCGTGGCTCACAACCCCCTATAATTCCAGCTTTAAGGAATTCAATGCCCGCTTCTGGCCTCTGTGGTCATCTGCACTCATATGCACATACCCACACTTAGACACACACATATACATAAATTAAACATAAAATAGTTTTTAAAGGTTAAAAAATTCAGTTTGATTACAGAAAGTCTTATTGTGTGAGTAAAGAAATACTGGAAACAGGCAGTCCATAT